TAATAGTTCATCAGAGTTCTGCTTCCAGTGATAATCCAGGAAAAAGCAGCTTTAACAGAGCACATACCAAAACCAATACACCTGTTGTGCTTTTAATGCAAAAACGAAACTAACGTAACTACAGTAGTTAATACAGTTTATTGCTATTAAAACAGGAAGTAACTTGGGCTGTTTCTGAAAAAAAGATTTTCACAAAAAAGTGAGAGATTAAAATCTGCAGGACAAAAAAAGATCTATCTGCCTCTAGCTGTACAGCAAGATTATCTTGGTATTGTTTTTCATATATTCCTCAGCAAAAAATTCCAATTTTGTGTGTGCTCCCAATCCTAATTACTAGAGTCCCAATTGTCTGATACATTTTATTGGTTCAATTTGTGAGGCACCCATGGTAGGAACTCTCAACATGCCATAAATACATGTGGTAATAGGAGTGTGACACTCACATCTGAGTTTCTTTGCCATGTCAGGCTATACACATTGAATACACAATTATTCATTGCTGTCAAAGAGACCTTTTAAAAACACACAGAAGGCCAACTAATATTCTGTTCTTCATTAGAATGAACCAAAACAAACACCCCCCCAATAAATGTCTCCTTCATAGTACCATAAATTAATTTCATATACCATACACAGGGTGTACCAAAACGCAGGCCCCATACGCCAACCACAATGTTTTTTTTTCCCCCAGAGAAAATGTATTTAGGAACGTTCAAAGGTCACGTGTCAAATAGTGTTAAGGAAATGGCAGCCAATTTGAATGTTTCATGTAATTTATATAAGTTGTCTATGGGGTCTGACTTTTGTTACACCCTATATATTGGGAAAAGTAATCAGTAAAAATGATTCAGATTGACCACATATCTTCTCTTTCCCCAGCATGATTGAAAAGTACATGCTCCCGTATGCTGCTTCTTTCCAGAAATTGGAAGAGCCCTCTGTGAAAACACTGGCCACAGCAGCACACCTTTTTAATTTACTGAACAGTTCTCAATCTCCCCAAACAGCTTCAGTCAACTAGAAGCAGTTCTAGCAGATGCTTAACTGAAAACATGCATCCTTTTCAAACCATTTCAGTCTAATTTCTACAGCCCTACTGACAGCAAAAAAATACTAGCTGCACTTTGCAACATGCTTGTTTTCCCTTTGGGCTTTGTAATATTTTATTTAAAAATGTTATATGGCTGTCCAACTCAAACAATGCAGATCTGAACAGCTTTCAACACACACACAGAAACCCAACCAAAATAAAAACAGTATGTAATAAATAGCCGACTTGGTTCACATTCACACTCTCTCCCGGTGGGGACTTTAATCAGCCCAGCCCAATTTCAGGAAAAATAGCTAAGTTTTAGAAGCTTTTCTAAAGGCCAGCAGGATCAGGTCCAACCAAGCATTGGGCATGTATGTGGAATTATTCCAAAGGGCAGGCACTGCTACATAAATGGCATACCAGGTGGCGGTTTTTCAAGAGGGGGGGACACAAAGCCTGCCACCTTATTAGAGCAAGTCATCCTGTCCTGTGCCACGTTAGGCTTCAGAGATCAGCCACATCAATTTGCAGTGTTAGACTTGTATTTAAAAAAAACAAACAAAAAACTGTTGGAAGCATAGGATAGTAATTAATTTGAAAAAAAAATCAAGTTCAATTTTACACTTCAGGAATATTTTTCTAACTCTAAATAGGTTAAAATGCCACTGTCCTTTACACTCGAGGTTCTAACAAAAATTAAAGTGTAATTCCATGGTTGAAGTGTGACCTGTGTGTGCTTAAATTGAGTTATATGACAATTACATTTAGTAACTTCCTTGCCTAGTGCATTTACACAGAAGAGCAGTGCAATACTTGTAGCTCAGCTACACAACTGCCAACATCCCTTCCGAAAGGCCAAGGCTGCTGAGAGCTTTGATTTAGCAACATCTGATTTACAGAATGCATGCTTTTCAGTTTCTCAGGTGCACTTGTCCAGAGTTAGAGGTCTGATTCTTCAAAAAAAAGCAGTATGTGGACATTACATGAAAGGCAAATCATGTGAAGTTATTTTCAGAACTTTCCACACTGTATTAATATTCTAGAAAAGTCATGCTTCATCTTGGGAAAGTTAAGACCAACTTTAAGTCTACTCCCAAAGATTCAGAGCTGTTCTAATATTTACAGGTCTTTAAGAGGCCTTCTAATGGTGTGGTCAGTAGTCACTTTATAACTCTGCAAAGTTTTCAATACTTCAGCATTAACTAAATAGCACAGGAATATAACCAAAAGCAGGCACCAGTTTCTTCCTGTAACAGCAAGGCAAATTACAATAATTACAAGTTCTCTGATCAGCTGAACAGTTACAGCAGGGCTACATACGCAGCTCAGGACTAACACCAAAAACAAGAGAGCAGTCAGCCACCATGAAATGCTTTGGAGCTGCTTAACAGGTTAGTCAATACAACCACAATACTGTAGTTACATTTAAAGCTAGTCAAACCAAAGTATTGATGATTAATGACAGGCTGCTCTCTGTTAGATTTCTGAAAAATACTTAAGCATGTAACATGGCCCTGAAGATAATTTAGCCTCGTCTATAAAAAGAAAGTTGCCTCTGCCAAGTTATTTCTAGGAAATAGGAGAGCAAGGAATATATGGGCTGAATTAAGATCTATAAGGATATCTTAAATGAGAGAATAGGGTAGCTAAAAACCCAATGCCCTGTTACTGCTGGTAACAATGCCTGGTGTGTGTGTGTGTAAGAATGTAAGATACCACAAGTCAAGTATACAGGTAGTCCCCGGGTTAAGAACGCCCGGGTTACAGACAACCCATAGTTAAGAACTGAGCCTATTGTAGCAAAAATTGAGTTAAATACACAATGATCTGAGCTCATTACACAATACTTATACAGTATTATACAGTAATACTGTTCTGGCTTACATACAAATTCGACTTAAAGACAGATCTTGCGAACAGAACTTGTTCTTAAACTGGAAACTACCTGTATTCCAACATTGGGTTGTGAGAAAAAGGTTTTGAAATCATCTGGACACCATGCAAAAAGTGGCCTACAAATTTATAACATTACACATCAGGGACCAAGATTCCAATCTGTTTTCAGCATGTCTATTTCCTATTCCTGTATCAAACAGAAGGGAGCATCTAGGAAAAAAAGAAGTACAGGTAGCCCTCGTTTAGCAACTGACTTGTTTAGCAACTATTCATAGTTACGATGATGAAAAAGTAACTTTACGACCAATCCTCGCATTTTCAACCTTCGCAGGTCTGCAAAGGAAAGCTGAAATAAGATAAGCAGTGTCAGGGTTTCACTTAGTGACTGCTTCACTTAATGAGCAAGTTGCTGGTCCCAATTGTGGTCACCAAACAAGGACTGCCTGTACTCACACTGCAAAGTGGGATTCTATTCTGCTTGCCCAGTTGACATATACACCAGGACTATAACGATCCCTACACTGATTAGGCCCATACCAATAAAAGCCAGAAGTCTCATTTGCTTTATTGCAGAACTACACCTACTTCACCTGCTCAACACACCTAATTGAGACCCCTGCTGGTAGGCAAAGAGTGATCTTGTGATAGCAGTCTTATACTATGCCATCCTCCAAGTGGTGATCAATGATGAAAAGTAGATGTGATGACACTCTTTATATTTATTAAACACTCTGATATGAGATAGAATCAAATTGAACCAAACCAGTCCTTTTCAAAGGTTAAGTAAGTTACTGAAACTTTTCCAAGGCAAACAAATATTAAGCAGCACAAAAATCTTAGAATTATAAACTGCATGTAGGAAAGCAGTGAATTCAACATAACTACTTTTGAAGTAGCCATTTGTACACAAAAACTAATCCACTCTCACTTTCCAGTCTTTATGCCGTGAACTAAAGTCTGAACCCATACTTTATGAGTAAGACTATACAGCAGAATAACCAATTGTAACCTGTTAATAGTTTATTCAACCTATGAGTTTTATGTTACATTCTCAAGCATTTGAGGAGGGGCAAAGAGGCTGTAATAGTTTGCTTATATAGCATGCTATAGAATTTAAGATGCTTTAGGAAAGGCAAATATTTTTCAGTAACTCAACTACATGGCAATCAAGGCTTATATGTTTTAAGTTTGCACGGAATCAGCGTTGAACTGTGAAATGTCTTTGTATCAAAGCTGCAAAACAGACTATATAATAAGCAATCAGTGTTATATTAGAAGTCAGCCTCTTGCACACTGTGGTTAAAAATGTGAATTACATAATCTGAAGGCAATAGAAATAAACCTTCCAGACATGCTGGGAGCTATAATCCCAACATATCTAAAGGGCACCAAGTTGAAGAAGGCTACCTTAATAAGATTTTAGGTAAGACTGTCATGCTTGGCTAGAATTAAGCATTTTATTGCAAACTGAACAAAGGAGCCTTATCTTAATTACTGGCCCTGATTCTTCAAGTAATATTTCTTCACCCTGTAAAGTTGCTTTTACTTACACTGAATACATCCAAAGCACTTGGGTGGAATTTGTACCACACTGACAACTGAATTCGTCAAAATGTAATTTTTTAAAAGTTGAAACAAATCATGGCCAAACTTATTCCCCTTTCATAAAATGTACAGTCTACATTTATTTTACAGTGAGATTTCCAAAATTATGTCAAGAAAAGGCATTAGGATGCACAAAACTCTAAACAGTGCTGAAGATGGAGGTAGAAGTGGCAGAAGCACAAACTCATAGCACAGGACTAGAAAATACTGAGCTGTAGACCAGAATGGAGACAAAATTATGATGTAGAAAGGAGAAGGATAAAATCCATTATCGAACAAGAATTAGTGGCACAAGTCAGTGCTTCTCAAAACAGAACACACTGTAGCAATGACTTTATTAATTCTTTTTGGTCACCCAAAAATAGTGACCCTTGCAGCAAAAAATGTTTGTTAATATAGGTGGCAGCATGATAATCCTTTGGACAGCAAACATCCCACATAGAAAAGTCACTTCAACACAACCTCATGACAATTCCCACATCAAAACAGTACTTTATTTTGCAATTTTGCCTCTTTACTCCCACATAAAGATCTTTCAGCTGTCAAGTGTACAAGGCGAAGAAATGCTTCTCAGTTAGCAAGCTGGGTGCTTTGGTGAAGTCTTCACAATACACCTGTACATATATCAGCTGGGTTCCAAGCCCGTAATTGAAAGCTTGGTTCCCAGGACCTTGTGTAGCTCACTAAAGTCTACACTACTAGGTTAGCTTATTAATTCTGCATATTCCAGGGCTGATCAATGTGTCAACCTGAACACAGACCAAGTATTATAACTGAACATGGCAAAAGGCTCACTCTACTAACTTCACATCATTATTTGATGTCAAACAATGAGGCAAATCCCAACAAGTATATACAAAAACCACCTTTGCTTTTACAAAAGATTTTGTTTCCCATACTGATTAATTCAGGCAGCTAACTCATTGGTTTATGTAACTTTATTGAAGAAAATAAAATCAATTACTAGGAGAGCTATTAGTTGATCATTCATCCATTGACAACTTGCATCATTTATTCAGTGCTATATTAAACTGCTGTGGAAGATAGATTAACTAATAGCTCCAAGCATCCTAACAAAATTTAAATGAGAATTACAAAAATGTTCCGAGACCCTATTTTGGAATACAAGGGATGTTGGACTTCCAATCTCCATTCTCTGTAGAACAAGAACTGGTCATTCCTTTATTGACATGCATAAGATACATCACGTGTTCTGTTCTGTTGATGCTACAAGTTCTGTACCAATTCTCCAGCCATACCAGTTATGAGCACAAGTATGTCATGAAACCTCAGTCTCTAACACTGGAAGGTTTTAAAACAAGATGGATGATGCTACAGCAATGCTATTTCCTGTGATGTGAGCAAACTGAACATCCATCTCCCCTCCCTTTGGGTGATATCTTCAGTAGAACTGTTAGAGCAGTGAGGAATGATTTCAATCTCATAACCAAGTTAGAGTGAAGACATTGGCCACAACACACATGCTCCATTTAAAGAATTCTGAATCTTGGGCAATTGTTCTTGTATAACTACTTTACAAATTCTAAAAAGCAGTTATTGTCCAAAGCTGGAAGAGCTAAAGTCTTCTCAGATGAGCATGTGCATGAATGGATAGAGGTAAATTAAAAAAAAAAAAAAAGATGAGGTCTGATAGGGGAGCAGCCGGATAAGAAAATCAAAAAGGAACAGTAATTTAAAGTTTATTCCAGCTATAATGCAGGTTATTCTGACTTAAGGTAGCATCACATGGCATACTTCTGAGTCCATTCCCGAGATATTCTGTTGTACCTGGAAAAGGAAAAAATGTTAAGCCAAGATAGACAGACAGATAGGTAGATAGATAGATCTTTATCAGCAAAACCAGAATCAACAATAAAAATGTAACCTATTACAAAGTTCTTTGCAGTGACTCATAAAAATGCTCATTTATGCTAACTTTACAAAATATTCAATGTATTCCAATGACACTTAGAAATATTTAGTTTCTGAAACAGAAATCGTATTCAGAGTCAACAACAGGAACACCCAAAATCATTTTGAAAGTCGTTACCAACACAGAAAATCTACTTAGCTTTCTTAATGCTACATAATGTTCTTACTCAGAATTTCAGAATAAATTAAATTGAGCAATCTAATTCCAAACAGCAACACAGTTTTATGTAAAAAAATTAGAATTCTTGATATGCAGTATCACTATATTTTCCTATGATCCAAAGCAATCCTACTAGCATGTTAGAAAGAACTGGCATCAACTCCAGTATTCACTTGGTCCTTTGAATAGCTATAATAAGAGTGTGAACCACCCCCACCTCAGCCTACTAGTATTTTTGGCAATATTCTACAAGTTTTGCAGTGGATTCTGGGCAAAGCACACTTGCCAATTTTGATCTAGCATATAAAAGTACACATTATTGCATATTAGAAATCACATTGTAATATGCAAGTATAAGTGGATATTCTTGCTAGTAAAACTCCACACAAACATCAAACAAACCCTTAAATACTAAATACAGCCAGCCTCTCGCATAAGCAGGGATTGTGAGAGAACTGTGCAGAACTCCACTGAAATTGAGTCAGTGCTATATTTACATGCTCAGTTATTATGTTAGTGTCTACCTATGCATGCCTATAGGCTTTTGTACTTCTGAATTTAATCTGCTAAATAATTTAAATTATGATTAGAGCCCCTTTTGCACTGAACAGGACACAAAATACTTACCAGATAAGTGTACCAGAACCAAGGAAGATCTATAAAACTTTCTTATATTTGACTATACTCATCTAGTCATGCAGATAGGCTTCTCACGCTGAATACAAATCAAGCAGTTAAAACTTTGTATTTCAGTGACTTGAACAATCTTTTGTTAGTTAATCCAGTGCCTTAAAGCATGCTGCACTCAAGTGCTGAAGTCCCCACATCATTAATGCACCATGAAGTGCAGTCTTACCCTACAGCATAGCGTATTTCTCTGTCCACTCTCTTGCTAACCTATTGTACCTAATTAGATAAGTATATTTAGTAACACAGACAAGCCAATAGAGCCCTATTAAATTTATCTGGGCCGATTTAATTGCAAACACAAAGCAGAACTAATAGATAATTTTGATGCAACCAGTTACTTCAAAACAGAAGGCAATACTGAAATCATTAAAGTAGTGGATAACCTTCACTTTCTCCCCTCAAACTCAAAACTATTACCAGAGTGTTCTCATTGTTAAAATTGTCCGTAGCAATCTTAAGTCAACATTTTGTACAGTGTTAAATTCCTATTCTAGCATGCTACTGAAGCCTTCTAGATTTTTTTTTTTAAAAGTATTTTACCCAATTCAGTTTTTAACAGCAGCAACAACTCAACTGTTCTCTAGCTACATTTCACTACTGCATCAATTTTTCCAAAAACAAAGTTATACTTACTTGTCTCTGTCTGTTTTATAGATGCGCGCAATCTCTGGCACTAGGGGATCATCTGGATTTGGGTCACATAACAGTGAACAAATGGATAAGAGAACTGAAACAAATTAAAAAAAAGCATTTAGAAGAATTGTAAATAGTTCAAAGAACAAGTTAATTATTTACTTCTGCATGTGTAGGTAGAACAGTCCCACACATTGTACTGCAAAAAGGTGGTCTCTAGCTTAAAAAAAAGGTTAGCTGAAACGTTAATTTAAACTAGGGATCTTTATTCTTAGTCTGTTCAGCCACGCCCATATGTAACCCTGCACCATGCTGTCCCCTGTGAATATTCTGATAAACCAAAATATTTTCTGTTTGAAACCCATTTGGCTCACTGAATCTGCATGCCAAACCAAGATTAATCTTTTTCTTTGTCTTGGCTTTTTGGTGATGCTAAAGCCACCTGGGTCTAAAAAATAAATTTAAATGGTTTGCCTAGCAAGAAGTCACTCAGCTTCTCTTTAAAGATTGAGTCCTAACCCTTACATATCTGTTTGTTTTGTATACTGCATAATCAAGAGGGACTGGCAGTAGTTAACATCAATGAGAACATGGAACACTTATATGAAACTAATAATAACAATAATAATCTATAACCCACAACGATGGGGAAAAGAATGAAACTACAAAAGGCACAAGAGCCTCAAAATATGAGTGCACAATTCAAGCATCAATTGAGGCTAGCATACCTTGAGATTTATAAAGAAATATGTGATAAGAAAATATGAATTACTTTTTGTTTATATTGCTCTCTTCCTCCTAATATTTTTGGGAACTTTTTCTGAAAAACTGCTAATTCTCCTCCAAAGAAAAGTGAATAATGGCCTTACATCCAAGCAAATGCTTTACCTGGGTAATACTGTGAAGATTTGGGAGTGAGGTTTAGCTCACTAAGTTAATGAATGTGGGCAACTTATAGGATGAGTGGAGAGAAATCTGTGGGACCACTGCGTGCGTGGGAAAGGTACCAGTGGGTAGTTGCCTCAAAGCAACAGTCAAAGGTCATGCCAAAATGGAAAGGAAAGTAAGACAAATCCTAGTATATACAGTACTAGGGATATGCAAAATGTGTCAATCTGGGAAAGGAACAATTTGAAAAACTCCAAAACACATGATTTCCCTCTGGAGTATGCCAAACTCCTGTCAGACCATATTCCAGAGGCAGTTCAGAATAACTGAAACAAATTCTTCAACATAGAAGCAGGGTGAGTAATTCCATGGATGGTCCAAACCCAAAACATAGGTGTTTCATCCAGAACACTTTGAACCATTTCCAGTTTGGAACCTGCCCTCAGAATGGCATGGTCTGGGAGGAAACAAAAGATTCAGGAGTTCTCTAGAACATTCTGTTCCTAGAATGACAAATTTTGCATAATCTATACACATATAGCATACCCATTCAAGCTGCTTTTTGTTAACAAAATACAAAGCAAAGGCAGCAATAATATTAACTAGGATAGTTTCACCCAAATACACTTACCTTTAGAAATAGTTAAAGCAGGAGACCACTGTGACCTTAGAATGTCAAGACAAATGCTGCCATTACTGTTAATATTTGGATGATAAATTCGTGTTGTAAATGCAACCTAGAAAATTGAGATCAGTCTGTAATTAGCATACATATCCTTCTGTTCTGATTAAAAGTGCTGGCTCTTAATATTTAGAATACTACTTAACAAATATCAAGGGGAAAAGTGTCTGCTTGTTAAATTTCATATGTAAACTCAATTTTAGGTGTGCATAGCTTGAAATGTAACCTTTTATTCTACAAACAGAGTAGTTACAAGGTATGTAAATACAGTTCTTTGCAATCTCTAATTTTTTTCTAATATAAAATAAACACTCTGTCAGTTTCTTCAGAAATATTGAGGGTTAGTGTAAAATCTAGCATGTGCTATACCACATCACCTTTCCCTAGATATGGTAATTGAAACTGAATGTGTGGAGGGCTATTTAGTTCTGGGGAAAGTATAGTATCAAAATAAAAATGTTAAACTTTTATCATTTAGAAAAAATACATATTTTTTCAATCAACTCCCAGAGCAATTTTTACAATGTGTTATTATTCTCACAGTGGTAGGGAAAACTTGCAATGTGACAGACTTGTATGTGACAGATTCAAAGAATCTATAGAAGCATCAGTAGTCTAAGATACAGCAAAACTGGCTATTATTTTCAAAAATAACCACAATATATTGTATATGGCAGCACAAATATCCATATTTAGCTTTATAAAGTTTATCACCAATTTACATTATAATGGCCTGAAAGCATGTTCGGTAACTGCAGCTACAAACATAAAACAAGTATAATTTAAGGAATTCTGCAGTTATGTGAATGAAGTAGTAGTTCTGTAACCCAAAGGGTAAATCAGTATATAGATCTGAAGAAGGCATTTCTTTATGCCTCTTTAGCAAGCAAAAAATGCTATAGCAAAGCTCATAGACTATTACTTGCCTATTCATGCAGAGATTCAAAGTTATAAATGTTTCCTCCTATACTTACCTTAGGTGGCTTGAAAGGGTAGTCTGTAGGAAAATGAATTGTCAGAAAGAAAACACCGCCTTGATATGGACTGTCGTTCTGACAGAGAATAAAATTCAGAAGTCAAGTTAAAAATTTCTGTAGGAACTACAGTTTAGGATAAACACTGAAGAGCTATACTAGCTAACTAAAGGTAAAACTAGCTACAGAAAGATGACACGTACACTAGCACTTAAAAACAACATTAACATTCACAACATTAACAATGGGGTGCACGTAATGATACACTGATTTCAACATCTCCTTCTGCACAGGCAGTCCTGGAAATTTTCAAGAATATAGCTACATGTACTGACATAGCTAGAGAAGACAGCAATGACATTTATGGACTGCCTTTGCTGGCATCAATACTGTTTCCTGAATATTAAAGCCAGCAAATAGATCAGTTTCATCTGTTATATTACATTGATTTTTAGGCCATAAGAGTGTTTATTTTAGCATGGTGTGCAAACTTGCCCTAAGAAAGCAAGCGTGGCTTAAATAAAATGATATAATGCATTAAGCCCAAAAAGAAGCTATGGTACAGTTTATTGCAGGCACACTGTTTCATATATGAACTACCTTGGCAAAAGTGTTTTAAAAAAGTACGTTTATATTGGGTGAAATCTTAGGCAAAAGTTTTTCCATGAAAATCGCAAGTCGAAGGTCATGATATTAGCACCTTCTAAGGTATGCAGAATGGGGGGGAAAAAAAAGGAAAATTTAAATTAATTAGCCCAACAAAAAGGTGCCAAAAACTGTAAACTTCATATTACATAAAAGAACAAAAAATAATGTCTTTCTAGAATAACTTTTAAATAGCTGTATTTAGAATGAATGTTAATAAAACTGCAATACTTACAGGACCCATAATTGTAGCTTGCCAATGAAACACTGAATGAGAGAGTGGGAAGAGAAGAGAAAAAAGAAAAATTGTTATTTCAATGTGTCTTTCCCAAGAACAACATGTCATATTGGACCAGAAGGACCAGTATCTATCAGTAACTTACTGTCATCTCCAACAGGGCCTGCAGAACACTGAGCTGGTGGGTCACGAGCCAAGTCACTAAGTTCCTAAAACAAAAAACAATACCTTCAGAGAATGGCATATTTCTGTCCCTTGCCCCTCCAAAGCAGCAATCCAGACAAATGCTTTTGTACAGCAGCTATTAAAAAACATCAAACTTGATCTCACGCCAATAAATTAATTATATGTATAACAATGCAACTATAAATGTTGAAACCACTGTGGAATGGTTCAAACACTACAAGCATTTGACACCCATGAGTCAATGGAAGTCTGAAGATGGAAAGCTTGCTGAAACACTTTTGTACATCCAAGCCATGGTAAGTTCTCTAGCGCAACCATTCTAGATACAGCATAAAGAGAAACCGAAGCACTGCTACTACCAGTGCAGTTTTAGAATTGAGGGGCAAACCAATCTGCCACCTATTTTTACCTTGGGCACTTATTGGGAAGCTAGACTCTACACTACAGCTCAAAAGGAACTACACTTTAATCTGGAAAGCTTTCAAGCAATCTTAATGAAACCTAGAAGACTTCATATTTTTTTGCACAAAAGCTTTCCTTCTTGTTGGGGAGGGTGCACAGGAGGGGTGGTTCAGGTCGGGGAGGGTGTGTGGGTGCATGAGTGGCTGGTGCAGCATGAGTGCAGAGGGGCTGGGGGAGGATGACCAGGTGGGGGAGACTTACCCCAGTGACTTGAAATATTCCCTGCCAGCTTCCCCACTGACTTTCTGGGGAAGCTGGCAGGGAAGGTTGTAAATGGCAATCATGTCATCACAGAATGCTGCAAATGGTAAGTGTGAACTGGTTGCCAAGTGCCCAGATGGCAATCACGTGACAGTGGGGGTGCTGGGATGGCCAGAACTCTGAGGACCGATGGTAACAACCATTCATTCAGTGCTGTTGTAACTTTGAACAGTCGCTGAACAAATGGTCGTAGGTCGAGGACCACCTGTACAACCTTTAAAAAGGCAAGTAAAAGGCAACTCTGAATGGTGACTACAAATGGGCAAGAAATCAGTATAGTTGCACGTATCAAAATGCCACATTCCTAAAGCCAAGTCAGGTTAGCAATCTAGAGTTGATCTGAATGTATAGAGTGTACCAAACATCAGGCTTCATTGAGAAATCATATAAATTATATTAAATGTTCAAATTGGCTGCCATTTTGTTCTGATCTTTGAACATACCTAAGTACAGTAACATTTTCCCTAAAAAAATTAATAAAATTAATACAAGATTTTGTAATTGGCCTATGGGGACTGACTTTTGGTACACCCTATAAAAATACAGTGTGTGTGTGGACTTGTATAACATATAACCTAATCTCAAATCTACCAGAAGTATTCATGTTTGTACACACCATCAAGTATAGAAAACATTTCAAAGCCACTGAGGGAAGCAGAGCATCAGTATCGTCAGTTATTCATCTAACTTCCCCCATCTGGACTTGAAAAGAGGACATACTGTAAAACAAAGCATCAGCCTCCAGATTTAATTTTGCTTCAAATAATGTGTTGGGTTCCAAATGGATCCTATAGGCTTTTTAAGCAGCTGTTAACCAGTGCTTTTTTGACTGGAACTGTGCCTACTGGCCCTAAAAAGTAGCATAGTTGGGAGATCCTGCTAGAGTGATGCTCCGCAGAAATTATTTTGCAAGACTATCCATACAGTGTTCTAAAATTTTCTGGTTTGCTTTTTTTAAACACACACACACCACAACCAGGCTGACCATCATTACCCCCACAGACAAACTAACACTTCCATCTTTCCAAGTTCGAGTCAGCACTGACTATATTCAGCTAGTCATGATAACTGAAAGTAGGCACAGAGCTCAACATGTCGGCTACAGTGTATTTCAATATCTGTGTATTCAATACATCTCCCTCTTCCGGATGTTCACCTACATAACCCAAATCAACCAATAACTGTCAATTTTAAAAACTGCATAGAAACTCTGAACAAAAATGGTTTTAGATATGCTTTTAAAAACTGAAGAGAGATTTCATATCCCAAAGCTTCATTGCTAATCTGAACATTACACTTAGCAGAAAGCAGAGACCTAAAGTTTCCTTTCATTGAATCTAAAGCCTCTAATTAGGCAGATTTAACATCTTCAGCCCAAATTCACTTAATCCTCTCCCACCACCTGCTTTTTCATAACATCTTGATTAAGAGGTCTTAAAAGCCTACCCTAAATACTGTTCATTTCTGATAATCCTAATAAAAATGTTAATACTTGACCATGGAGTTCAGAATGTATATTAATCATATGGTCCTAAGAGGAAATGCTATTTTTTAACAGATATGAACAGATATTTATTCATTTACATGCTTATACAGTACTAAGATATAGGCTGAATTCCCAATGTGGGACGTGTTGGCATGTCTTTTGACTCATACCATGCTTTGACCCATTTATTTTAATTTAAAAGAACTGTTTTATTAAATAGAAAGCTGACTGCAAAGCTTCATCATGATCCTTATTTGGAAGCAGGTCCCTGTGTCCAATCAGCATTCATAGAAAATACTGTAGAAGCAAGCTCATCAGTTCAGAAGAAAGATAAAAGATGGAGAGGCAGGAAAACTATACAGATGCATCAACCTAAAGCCTTCCTTGAGTAATTGAGGAAAACAAAATAGGCTAAAATTTACAATTTATTCTCTATTGCAAGATACAAAGACGAATAACTGTTAAAAAGATGGTTTTCTGACTAATGACTTCTAACAGTAGCTAAACTTGCTAGCTTTGGAAAGGCAAAGAACATGTAAGTTTACTAGAAATCTACATACAGTGCATTTGGAAAGTATTCAGACCCCCTTCACTTTTTTCAATTTTGTTATGTTGCAGCCTGATACTACAATCGTTCAAATTCATTTTTTCTCGTTAATCTATACTCAGTACTCCATAATGACAGAGTTAAAACAGAATTTTAGAAATGTTTGTAAATGTATGAAAAAGGAAAAACTGAAATATCACATTGGCATAAGTATTCAGACCCTTT